AAATCATAGCATTCACTAGAACTAATACTTTTCTAGTTACTTACCAAAAACTGAGTTTGAGTTGAGTTTCTAAATTTTGAGAATCAAAGTGATGTTTCAAATATTTAAAATAAGAAATTAAAATAAGTATTAAAACAAAGTATTAATTAAAATTAAAAAATATATTTTATATATATAAACCCACCTATTCTGTGATCTTGACAAATTTGTCAAGTATTGACAATTAATCAACATTTTCACCACACTATGGTGAACAGTGTTTTGTATATAAATTTCAAAAGTGATGTGTATACTAGTTATGATATTCATAGCATGCCTTAGTATTTATATAAATACTAATATATATTATTATATTCATATAACACTATTGTTAACATATATTCATTTTTTATAAGTAATTATAAATTCAGAAATCAAAGAGTTGAAACATATTTCCTGTTCTGTCACTTTTGCGAGTGTACCGTAAAGAATCAATAATATGGACTACATAGTCAGACTCTTCTGAAACATCGTCATCAATCTCAATCACTGTAATGTTCACTTTCATTACTATATAATGCATTATAACGCAAGCACTAATTTAGGGAGCTGAAGTTTCATGTGAATAATGTGGAACTTTGTGCTTCAAAACACGAAATTCCCTTTCTATGCAGTTGGACCGTCAACCGGTGTTAAAAGCAAGGACTCCAGAGGGCAACCTTGATCGCCAATAAGTCAGAATCCACTTCGGTGTACTACAGACCTGGCAGTATACTACCGGATGAGATGCTCTCGTAGATAGGAAGTTGCCCAAATTCCGGAATTAGGTGTTGCACTCGAAAATTTTATATTAAGAAAAGTAAAACATAAACGGTGATCACATATGTTTGAAGTATGACTTTTATAATTTGCGTTAGTCATAGGCTACAAAACTTACTGCTTCGACATTAATACTGTAGAACCTCTTCATATTTAAATATAAATCAAGGGGGCGTTCAGCATTATTTCAAGGTGGATGTCTTTAGTTCCGCGCGTGATATTCTTTTTTGTCATTTCCCTTTTTGTCTAACAATAATAATAGTAGAAATAAGTCGTCTTCCATATTAATGGACTATTATCTCCAAACAATAAAAAATGGTTCTACAGAGCATTTTATTATTTGTCAAGTGTATTTGCCAACTTGACAATTTATCAAGAAAAGAGTTTTTTATTTATAGCACAGAATACCAAAACCTTGACAAATTGACAACATTGACAGTTGTTGAAGAATTGTCAATACTTGGCAAATTTGTAATTTTCACTGAATACAGGGGAGAATATAAAAAAAGAGATAAAGAGATATCAAATTTATTGTGGAATGTATCATTTCTTAGGAATACCAAATATGACGACAAGCGCCACTATAATGTTTAGAGAATTGATTTTTTTTCGAAAATTCTTCGTTTCTTCTTTTTTATATTAAGTATTTGAAACATCAACTTTATTCTCAAAATTATAAATAGAAATTCAACAATAACTTCGGTTTTTCGTAAGACACTATAAAACTATTGATTCTAGGGGATCAAATGCTATGATTTATTTAAATTTTTAAAAACATTGCATTCTTTCATAATTTCATATATCTATGTCGACGTCTTAACAAGGTCTCCCAGTAAAGCTTGTTTTATTGCCAAAATTAGCTGTTGCCCATTTATAGGTTAACATGACGTTCGAATGGGTCACATTGATATATTGAAATATTTGATTGAAATGCATTTTTTTCTTGTTTTAGTATATTATATATAAGTTCTAATTGATTAACTATCCCAATTATACTATTTTTGTGTTGTTCTTCAATATGATTAATGTGTGCCATTCTAAATTAAGTTTAAATCATTGGTAACGAACATGAAAATCAGATTAAAAACCGTTCCATAAGCAAACAGTAATCTATTACTTTTGACTAACTCCTCAAAGAATAAGCATGCGAGGTATATATGTAAAGAAAAGAAAAGCGGTTTCGACGGATTCACATTGCATACTACTACGACACATAGGTTGTCGTTAAACCTATGGGGAAGGCAAATCTGCAAGAGATACAGTTCTTATAAATGGAAAATGAATTGTATGGAAAATAAGGTTGCTTTCGATAAAATATATCATTTAAATATTTTATTGCTGTCGAAAAACTTGCTTCTGGAAACAACATAGGCAATTGGTCGGTCAATGGTGCATGATTTATTGACTTTGTATTTGTTTTCTTCTAATTATGAGATATTATTAATAAGTATGGTAAATGCAATTATATAGATATATGTATTATCCCCTACCCTTTAGCGAAATAGTATTCATTTCAAAATAAATACATTTTCCTTAAGGTCGTCTTCAATATTTTTGACGAAATTTGATTCGAAGTAAAATATGAACGAAAGGAGGGATTTTATTAATATTTTTTAGAATAAAATGAAGGCCACACAAATTATTTGTTAATGTCAATAAATTGTTTAATGAAATTTAAACAAATGTTTAAACCACTAATTAAGGGTAATTAGTATTTAATGTTAGTATTAATGTTTGCTAAATTGGTTTATCTGTGTTTGTCTCTGCTTTTGAAAATGCTCTTGAGAATTGTCAATTAATCAATTTTATTAGCAAAATCTGTTTTGTAGTCTATCTGTAGTGAGTAAAATAGTGAAAAGCGTCGACTCATTGCAGTTGATCTATCACATGTGAAAAGTGTTTGAGTTCGCATTATAATTTATTTCCATCGACACGAGATGCTGAACGGAGTGCCGCTGATCCGTTCTAAATGTTGGAAATGTTGTTCCAAATGTTTTTGCAGTGACAATAATCTTCTGTACAAAGTACAGTGTGCGGTGTTATCACAGGCGTGCGGATGGGGTGCGTAATGCATTGTTCATTGTTTTGAATTGCAATTAAATTGAGAAAGGCATAGCCCGTCAGAACTATAAACCTCAATGAAGAAGAAAAATACGTTCGCCAGCACGCTTCGCGGGCTTTCTCCGCCTTCGGTACTCACAGTTTGTCGCCTGATCTTGTAGCGTTCAAATGCTTTCGTTCTTGAACTTCTGCTGATCTTTTACGAACGAAAGTGAATTTTTGTGGATTTGTTTTTTTTATTGTTTTGTGAAATAAATTAATCAAGTGAATTTAGAAGAAAATTGTTTATACTTAAAATATTTGCTTTGATAATAAGACAATTGTGCCTGCAAAAATAAAAAATTTGAAATATCTTGCAGATAAATTTTGAATTTTTTAACAAGCATATGGGTGAATGCGATGAATTCTACATACAAAATAGATAAAAAATAAAAAGATAAACACAAGTGCTTGAAAGAAAAATAATGGTAACTGTTTTTGGTTATATGCATACTCTATACATATATATTAAATAATATTTGGCATATATTTCTAGTAGCATATATTTTTGTAAATTTAATCCTTGGTTAATGAAGTAATGAAGTAATAAAGTTATTCCTTTACACCCAACACTATTGTATATATAAAATAATATATGGATGTTAGGGGTCCCAGAATGTCGGACCTATAAGCCCACGTAATTCATGTTATTTATATTAACTATTCTAATTTAACTTAATATTATATGATATATGAAGATTAGTATGTGTGTTTAAAATCAATTTTTGAATATGTAAATAGTTCATAAAATTTTGTCAAAATTAAGATCTAGATGTAATGATATAATGTATAAAAAGAATAATTAGTTTGTCAACTTGCTTATAAGACAGTGTAAGTGGCATCAATGGATGCTTCTATGAAGTATATATTTATACTTATTAGAACTCTATTAG